CCTCGAGGATTTAGATGCAAGCATGCCTAAGAAATCTGAAGCAGGTGGAAGAAATAAAAATATACTGTGTGTTTTAGCACACTTTAGACAGTGATTCTCGTTGTCTTGTATAGGAGCAGAACTTCAGAAGCTGAGGAGTAAATTCCTGGTGTGTATCACGTGAACCTGTAAATATTAGACATCTAAATTCTACAAAAGTGAAATTTAATAGTATAAAACCTTTTGAGTGTGGTGTTACTGCATCCTTTGTCTTTATACACAGTGAAATAATGTAATAAAATCCTAGTCTCTTGAAATGTGAGCCAATTGCTTCAGAGAAGTAAGGCTTTACTTAGTTGGACTACTTACAGAATAAGGTACAGCACTCTACAGGTAAGATGAATGGGGCAAAGCTGGAAGTGGGCAGATTCAGGCTGGACATGAGGAAGAAGTTCTTCACCATGAGAGTGGTGAGACCCTGGAATGGGTTGCCCAGGGAGGAGGTTGAGGCCCCATCCCTGGGGGTCTTTAAGGCCAGGCTGGATGAGGCTCTAGACAGCCTGATCTAGTGGGAGGTGTCCCCGCTCATGGCAGAGGGGTTGGAACTGGGTGACCCTTGTGGTCCCTTCCAACCCTGACAGATTCTGATGTGTTTTAGCAGAGGACTTTAGAGCCCTAATGGCTCAATGGTTGGACTTGATGATCTTGAAGGTCCCTTCCAACCTAAACGATTCTATGATTCTATGATGATATTTACTGTGCGGTTAAACATTTGCATGGGTTCTGCTTTGGGAATTCCTCATGCAGCACGTGGCTAAGCTATGGAACTCCCTGCCTCAGAACACTGTGCATGCAAGAAGTTTACAGAGGTTTAAAAGGCAAGCAGGTAAACTAATTGAGGAGAAATCCATGAGAAGCTAGTAAATACAAAGGCAGCACTTCTGGTACAGGAAAATCAATCTCTGTGTCTGTTTTCTCTCACCAGTCACTAAATTCCTGCCCTGTTTTATTACTTTTTTTCTGAGACACCTGCTGCTGGAAGAAAGATACTGTTCTTTCTAGGTTGATCTTTAGACTCATCCTCTGCAGCAGTTGTAGCAGCAGCACAATCATAGTTTTCCGTGTAAGTACACTTAGAGTAATTTCCCTTTGGCTTAACTCTTGACTTCAAGAAAGTTATTCTTGGCATACCCTGGTGTGAGATCACACTAAGGCATGCTTGCTTCCTTCAGGAATAACACAGTCCACCAGAAGATTCTAAGGAAGTGAAAAAAAATGACTAATTTCACAGGAAAAATAAAATTTTTAGAAAGATTTAGTTAGGATTGTGGCAACCGCTGGATTTTCTTAGTGTTAAATTGAAGGAACCTGGCTTATGTAAGCACTCACATAGTTCAGGGAGAATTCATTCTGCATGACTCTTTCTTGGGCTAGTTGGTTCCTAAACTGTAAAATAAGCAATTTTTTTACTGAGTAGTTTCAGAAGAAATCAATACAATATATGCTTATGTCAGTGCTCACAAAATCTCACTCAGCTACAGTTTACTCAATCTGCTGAGTACAAATGGCTGCAAATAAAACTTCCAGGATGCACAGGCATGAGAAGTATCAGTAATTCTGTAATAGTAATCACATAATTTTTGGAGATCTATTGATCCTGAAGCATTTGATATGGCTTTAAACTGCAGGAATTTGACTGATTATGTTTTTGTAATCCTGTTGTGAGGACACTGCATCTTAAAAAATTCTTTTTTAAATGCTATTTCCACAACTGTTTTCCCCCTACGAATAAACTTTTCTTCCTTTTATTTTCTCAATAAATGATTAACAGTTGAATGTACTTTTCTCTACCTATATTGTATATTGATTATGCTTTGCCCTTGACCCTGTCCTAAGCAATGCTAATCAAGAATTTTTGTTTTTAAAGACACTATTAGTCTTTAATCCTTATGCACTAGAACAAATTTGTCTTCTAAACATTGAAGATAACAAGTTTGTAGTTACTGATCAAAGAGTTTTAACATAGCTATCTTGCACAAATCTCCCTATTGATTAAGCTCTACTCAAAGTAATGTTAAAGAAGCCATAATTTACAGTCTCTTTAAAAATTCACCAAATAAGTGGACTGTTAAGTCATACTGCACTAGCACAATCCAACAGTCAGTGTCCTATCGTGCTAAATGCTTTGAAAACACATAGAAATTAAAGTTCTCCGAGCCAAACAATTTATGTTTGAAAGGGATGATATCCATCAGTAAGCGTTCCAAGAACAGATTGCTGGGTATCTAAAAACTGTTGCCAACCACTACATTAGCTGACCTGGTGTTATGTCTGGAGACTGGAAACACTGTGTTCAGTGCTACAGCAGTTCATGTGATTGGCCATTATGTTCAGAAAAGATCATATTTCTTGCCTTGAATCAGGCTTTTCTGTCCCTTAGGCAGGGAACATCTAAGCACTGGGGGATGTTCTGATGCAGCTGAGAGGTGTGACAATTAGAAGAAACAGTCACCTTGTTTTCACTCTGTTGTTGCACAACTTTCTATGGGCTGGAGTGGAATTTAAAGGTGTGTTTCTGTGTCCATTTCTGAAAAGGGAAAGAATGTTTGATATTTGCTTAGATTTTGAAAGTAACTAAAATGTTTGGAGTTCAGGAATGTGTATCAAAAAAAATTAATCATTGAATAAATTAATAAATTGGACTCTTCTGGAAGCCATGCAGACTGAAGTCCAACTCGTGCTCAAAGCAGATACAATTAGATCAAAGGGCATTTGGTCTTGTCCAGTCCATTTTTAAATACCTCTGAGGATGGAGATTCTACATCCTTTCTAGGCAACTTGTTCCAATATTTGGCCAAGCTCATGGTGAAAAAATTTCATTGTATCTGACTGGATTTTTGCCTATTGGAAATGGTGTCCATTGCCTCTCACCATTATCATGCACCTTCAAGAAGAGTTTGGATCCATCATTCCTACAGGCTCCCTTTAGGTATTTGAAAAATTTGTGCTAGTACAGGCAGGTTATGTTAGTTTGGCACTTCAAAGAGACATGCTGGAATGGAACCAAAGAACAGTATAGAATATCTGGGATGATTTGTTTGTTTGTTTTCCACATGGATTCCAAAGGCTCACAGAAGTACCTGAATTTCTGTACAGCCACTCCTATGAAAACCACAGAGAAAAAAAATAAAAGCTTTATAATTTCCAGTCTGGCTTTGTGCATAATGAGAATAATGCAATTAAAAGCGTGTAGGTGACTGACCTGGAGAAGGTTTCTTTTATACAGCCATTTCAGGCCATACACGAAAACTGCCCCTGGGGGATTCTGATCCAATATGTGTATGCTGGAAGTGGGTATGGAATGGGAAGGAGACTGCTAAAGCTGTGGGCTCTGCTGCAGTCTTCAGGGCAGCCCAGTGGCATTCACTGACACAAGAGCTTTGAGATACACCAAAGGTTTCAATACCCTTTGTAGAAACTTGGCATCAGAAGGAGCAAAAAATGTTTTACAGCCCCCACAGTACTTGTTCTGTGGACTGCAAGAGTCAGCATTCTGTGTTTCAAGAATAGCCCTCTGGGAAGAGAATCCATTTCATTTGCTTTCTGATGGAGATGGCCCACAGACACATTAAAATCTGAATTTTGTGTTATTTCAAATATAAAAAATGAGGGGGAAACATACAATATCCCAATAGTCTGTCAAGTATCTGTTAGATATCACAAAGGAGGGAAAGTGCTTACCCACTTAGAGCTTACAATGCACAAGCAGAAAATATCACTGCACTAGTAGTCCTTGTGAAGATCAGATTTGATAATTCTGGCTGGAGCTGAAGTGCTCCATGACTGCACCAATAGAGAAAGAACAATTTGGGACAAGTAAAAGAAGGAAATAAGATACTTTAAAAAAGGGATGTCTTCAAAGCAACCCTACTAGAAAGATACTGGAATGCAACTCCTATTTTTAGTAAGGAATCATATTTAAAGTCTAATGTTAATCTTTCCTCTTGGCCAGTTAATACCAAACATAATTAATGCTAGGTGTTTATTTAACAAAAAAACAAACAAACAAACAAACAAACAAATAAAACCTCTTCTGGTACTAAGTAATGATATTCCCAGTCATTTAGTGGGACAGATAAGTTTTTTTAAGCATTGCTACAAAGTTCCGTTACAAAGTGTTTGATGAGAACAAATGAAATCAAAACACCATCACTGTATTTTAGGTTTTGCTAGCCTGCTGCAAAAGAACTTTGAAACATCTGGGGATTTTTCTGCTTGGAGTTAATTAAAATCGTAACCTTTTGTCAAAGTGCTATTTGATCATAGAAATAAATTGCTCTTTCCTTTTCAGAACTATAGCTAAACCACTGCTTGGAATATAAAATGCTACTATGTAGTTACTAACAGGGGTGATCTGAGAGGCAAGAATAATAACTGGATATTCCTATAACAACCTTTTAAGGATTTGTGAAGTCCAGACCTCTAGCTGCATTTGTCCATTTTGTCTGCCAACATTTTCCACTCTCTTTACAATGCAGTTCTTCTGGGAGCAACGCACGTCAATCTTCCAGGTGTATGTACTCACAATATTTGTTTACATGCATATATATGCACATTTAATTTCTTTTTCTCAAACTTTCTAGTTTCACAGATCATAAAAATTCTGTTCCTTAGTGATTCCTGTGAAACTTCTCTGTCCCTTATTTGTTTCTTTTGCTCTGCCTAAGAAAATATGTCAGATCAGTGTGGTTCAGTCAATATGTTATCTGTTTGTGCTTCTGGCTATATCCAGGAAGACAATTTATTTGGCAAGAACATTATTTTTTAGCAAGCTGAGTGCTTTGAGAACCTGGCTATGATTAAAGATGTCTCCTGAACACATCAGAAGTGATTTTAACACAGTTCACAGTCAGAGAAAAATGGTGTCTCGCTCTGAACAGTGATTGTGATTTTAGGAATCAGCTAAGAGTCTGGAGATTAATTAGCCAATAATTAGTTATTATCATTTTGTGTCCTATCAGGTGGAAATCCTTGATTGGAAGACAAAGGAACAGCTATGCTTCCTAGAAAAGGTAAAACAAAAATCTGTTTAAAATCCTAGATGACTATTTAAAAATTACTAAATTTTCTTAAGTGAACTTAGTGTTTGTGAAGTGTGTTTACTCTCCTGATAGCCTTTCTTTGGCCACTGAAAAAGCAACAGTTATGCACACTTCATACTGACTATAGAGTACTTACAGTCCTTTTCCAGAAGGAGCTTTTGGGCAAAGAGCACAACTTCAGCTGCTTCACTAAGATGGTGCCAGTTGTGCCTTACTCACTTATAAGCTATCAGACTGTCACTGCTATTGTAGTAGCTCTTGATCACTGCTAGAGAAGCTGCCTCTGAAACAGGTTCCAAAAACTGCCCTCCCTTTTTCCTGTAAGAAGTACTTAGAATCATCCATACCAATCCTAGTCATCTAGAAGAAAGTTATATTGTTACATTATTCAAATTACATTTCTATTTGTATAATCTCACACCTAGTAGTTGTCTTTCAAAATATGTATCTCACATATATAATACTTTTTGTTGCCTAGGTGGAACCAAATGCCACAATTAGGGAGATCAGATTGATGCTCCATAAATTATGTGAGTATGACTTTTGCAGCAGTTTACATCACATCAGAATATCCAGTATATAAATAGGAGAAAAATGACATAATTTGAAACATGTGATGTACACACACACATAATGCTAAGTAACCTGCACATGAATGTGAGATTTCAGAATAATTTTTTTTATACTGTCTTGATATACTTTTGTATTTTTTCTGCTGCATAATTTCTTACAGATATTCATGTTGAATAAATATTCCTAAAAATGTTTAACTACATCTTACCTTATTGCTTTGCATTCTTCATAACAGTGGATGACTTAAAACAAACATTGTGTATCACACAATTCTGTATGCTCTTATAGATCCTCAGTGGTATCCAGCAAGGCAGTCGATAAAACTTGATCCAAGTAAGTACTTGTGAGGCCTGGAGTAACAAAGCTCTGAGCTTTGTTATAAAAGGTGTACTTTGCCTGTGTGTTAGCTCTTTAGAATGAGTTTCCAGACATGTTAATTAGCACTATGAAGGCTGAAGAGAATCCAGAAATTTAATTTGTTGAAGTATTGAACAGTTCCACCTATGTGCCTGGTGGCTGGTAATTAACTCAGGAGTCTGTACATTGCTCCAATGCACTAACTACTAAGCACATTTGCTTTCAGACAGGCAGCACAGAATCTAGATACTAATTTCCCTTAGCTGCAGTGAAATGATCTCCACAGTCATGCTCAAATGGGAGCACTAATAAGGGCTATGAGTTAGAGCTATCAATTCACATAATCCTCCGCTCTCAGGTACGAATTACAGTTCTTCTGAGGTGAGCTAATGCAAAACACATTGCCAGGGTTGTAGGATTTGCTGACAAAGCTGATGCCAGCTGGCTGACTCAATGAATGCTGTTGTAGGTATTGCCAGTAGAAGCCTCTTAGTACGTGGCCTGGGTGTACAAAGTCTAATTGCCAAACTGTGTTAATTCATCCTAGCATTCTGTATAAAATGCAACACTTTATTCTTTTGCTATAATCATAATTTTAGATTAATATATATATAGTTAATGGTGTAGAATCTGCCCACTGAAAAAAAGGCATAGGAGTATCTTACGTCCTTCTTCAAACATCTACCTCATCACATTCCTCCATGGACTTATTTTGTGAGACTTGCCATGAGAAAATGCAGTCCTTCTGGAGATTCCCCAAAATATAGGCATTAAAAGCTTGAGCACTAGCTCAAGTCCTATGGAATCACCTCCTAGCTGGTTGGTTAGGAAAAAAGGAGGCAATGGAAATCTCTCTTCTGTAGGAGAGCCTTGCAATCTTAGCTTATCCTAGCTTCTGTCTGTCTGATGATGAGCAGTGAGAAGAGAGAGGAGAGAGATGGAGGTGTAGCTGATAAGGAGGTCAATGAACTATGTTAAAGGGCAGTGACCCATCAGCAAATTCTGCTGTGACAGTGACGAAGCAAGTCTGCCACACTAGGCAGGCACATAGAATGGAGAATTCTAACAATCTCGTTATGCATAAAGGATCCAGGCTTATATACAATTGCAGGGATAAATAAAAATGAAAATAAAACATTCTTATTTTGTTCATTGAGATTCCAATAAATGCATGCTACATCCAAGAATCTCACAGATTGGTTAAAGCACAGTATAAAGCTAGTATGCTACCAAGGTTGACTTGAATGTCACTGAGATGTAATTACTTCTTTCCTTCTCAGAAGGAAAGTCCCTGAGGGATGAGGAAATCCTGCAGCACCTCCCTGTTGGCACAACTGCTACCTTATACTTTAAAGATTTAGGGCCACAGATAGGATGGACTACGGTGAGCTATGCTTCAAGTCTGAGCCATTTTTATGGCTATTCTTCCATAATTAATCCTTACATCACTTTTTGTCTCTCTCCAGTATTTTTGCATGATGCCTGCTCTGGTAGTGGATGCAGGCAATGAATTCTCATTGCTTTAGTTCATTTAATCAGGGAAAGCAGTAACAGCACATTCTAAATGCCTAGTTCTCTGGGAGAGCAACAATGGAAAAGTTGCTGCAGGGTAGGTTGGCTCTACTGAACTAAGGTGCAGGTTCTCAAATGGATTTAGATGTCTATTGCAAAAGCACTAAGGTCTAAGTGTCTAAATGCCTTTGGGGATCTGCTTCACAGGGCCTGTGTAGCTCTCTCTGACCAAGATTGGGGTCATACTCCTCTGAGCTTGTCCTGCAGTGAGGTGACCAATAACCCTTATAATTCTTCAGAAGGTCCACAATGCACATATTACACTAGTTCTAATGAAACAGCACAACACAAAGGGAAAAGTGCCCAATAATTTAAAGGCACATTTGCTGTTTTATAGCTATAAAACATTAATAAAATCTTGTGTTAATGACAGATAGTAAAGTTCACATTCATAGGACATAAAATAAGTCTAATGTTCTGCGAGACGATCTTCACAGTATTACTTTGGATGCAATACTGATAAATTAGGCAGCTATTACACAATCCAAAATACCGGTAAGACAGCAAAACTTCTAACAATAGTATAGACTCCAAGGCACACATTAATCTGAAATATCACAGTGCAGAGTAACACCAGACTTCTGCCATTCCATAGTCTTCAATTTACATTCTGCTCTCCCTGACCTTCAAGCTGCTTCATTCAAATGTAAGCCAAGAAACCTTTGAGTCTTATCAAATAAAAAAGACAAGCTTCTAACCTACAATCAAATCTGATCTTCACCAGGGATAATGCTGGTTGATACAGAAGTTGATAATAAACTTTTCTGAGTGTCAAAATAACTAAATACATTAGAAAGCAGGGGTTTGTATGTTTGTTTGCTTGTTTGTTTTTTATAGAAGTACACTTTTTCTCCATAAATGAAGTATGGACCTACCTTCTTCACTTACAGAAGTGTGGGAAATTCAACTCCTAATGTTTGGTCTAAAGTTAACTTCAATCTAAAGTGATGTTCCTAAGAAATACACACCTATCTGAAATGAAATCGTGTGATACTAGCTTCTGTAGTTCCCTTTCTCTCTCTCTTTTTTTTTTTTCTTTTTCTCTTCCTTTATGCTAACGTTAAAGATTGTTTCAACATAGAATGCATTGCTTCTCAGGACATCTGCTGTGCTAACTGTTCATGCAGATGGGACCACCTGTGAACACTTACAGGCTGCGTTTCCAGTTTAAACAAAATATAATGTAGAAACAAAGCTCCTCTTTTTCAAGATAAATTCTTCACCAAATTTTATTTTAACCCAAAATAAGACAACAGTTTTTGAGGGCAAGAGGAGGGCAAGAGCTGCATAAATGTAACATGCATGCATATTATGCCTATTTACCATGATCTCTGGGCTGCCATGGTTGTCTTTCCACACCCATACTGTGTCAGCTGCACTGGCAATGGCTGTTTGTATGTAACTGAGGCAGATGCATTGCAAAACATTTACGTGCATGTCTACCACTTTCACAGCCCAAGCCCAAACCCTCCCTGCCTCTCTAAATGCCATCTTGGGTCAGTGGAGGTGTTTATCCCACTGCATTAGTTATCACAAAGAAACCAAAGCAAAACCATCATCTAATTCAGATGTCTAATAATTTTCTCTCTTTTTGCAGGTATTTTTGATAGAATATACAGGTCCATTGTTCATCTATTTTCTATTTTATTTCCGCATGCCTTTTGTCTATGGACTGGATGAGAGGTTTACAGCAAGCCCACATCCAGTAGTTAAGTAAGTCTGTTTGCAGGCTTAAGCTGTATTTCTTATTAGCATTGTAGTCTTATTCCAAATGTCTTGCCACACTTGTTTTTTTCAGCACTCTTAAATGCTTTTGTCTTGCTGTTTCTAGCTTGGCATGTATCTGCCATTCTTTCCACTACATCAAAAGGTTGATTGAAACAGTATTTGTTCATCGGTTCTCCCATGGGACTATGCCACTGAGGAATATTGTGAAGGTAAATTGTGTCAGAATCTATCCGTAGACCTCCTTAGAAATCCAGCTTAGGCAACCTATGCTCTGTCTCTGCAACGCAGATTTTTTGGTGTGGCTTTTGTAGTCATGCACAGCAAATCTCATCATAAATCTCTAGTTCTTTAAAAGACTTCTTAATGTCAGTGTTGTGTAATCCACGTGTTCCTATACTGATATTCATGTTATGGTAGTCTTACTGCTCTTCTAGAATTTTAGACCTTCAGCAGACCCTTTTCACTCAGCTAGCTCCGTGGGAGTGAAGGGTTTAGTAACAATGTTAACTTTCAGGGTAGCACAGGCAGGCACAGTATTGGCAGGGTTGCTTTTTTAAAAAAAAATACAAAAGAAGAAGAAAAAAAAAAATCTCCTTTTTGTTACAGTCATCTTAGGTTTTCTTTGCCCCTAACGCTCTTTGCTGTTAAGCAAAGGTGAGTTTACCTTTGATCCAGCGCAAAGCAGCTTGGTTGTTCTGCATTTTCCTCTCCTGCAGGAGCACTCCCTCGTGTCCGCAGTGCTGCGGTGGCACAGGGCAGCTGTTGAGATGCAGACTCCTCGTTCCCTACATGTCTGCAAAGCAGCACAGTGGCCTGCGCGGCTGTGCGTGGGCCGCAGCTATTCTTCAAATGTTTGCCGCAGAATTACACGCTGGTATTCAAACATACGCTTGATACACAGATAGACAGGAGATTATAAACTACAACTTGAGAAGCATATAGTGTAGTATCAGCACTTGGGTGGTTAACGTTTGGTATTTAGACAATCCCTTGGAATTTGGGTTATGGCAGCGATACTCTGAGCAGCTCAAGCTCTACCTTGTGGCTAACTCCTTACAGCTGTGCAGTGGCTCTAGTAGTTCTGGCAATAGCTTCATGCTTTCTAAATGGAAGGAGGGTCTGTATTTGAGCAGTGGCCCTCAGAAAGAATCCTCCCTCGCAATTTACTGTGTTTTCTGCAATGGAATACTGCAGGGGTTGTTAAAAGGCTAGAAGATCTCTTAAAGGCTTGGTCTTGACCCAACAGTAGCTAATGCATGCTAAACAGGGCATAACTTTACTTTGAAAAAGAATTTGTACTGTGTAAGAAATCTGCATTTTCTCACTGCCATCTCTGACAATGACTTGTTCCTTTCAGGCCATACAAACTGTTGTTGCTAAAACTGACATTTGTAGCACTCATTCTGATCACTTCTACTTCACCTTCTTAGGTTGGTGGTACTTGCTTTCATCTGTAAAGTTGCTCACAGTTCTTCTACCTGCTTAGCAGTGCTTGGGTTTCATTTGCTTTTATAATATTCCATTGACCTTAGTGGTGTTACTCCAAAATTGTGCCAGTGAGAAAAATATCGCATCCTCTTCCCCTTTTTTTTCTCACATACAGATGGTACACAAAGCTTTGTACTTGAAGGGTTTGATAACATCCATAGCAGATATAGACAGCTTATTTCCTAAGCACAAAGGAAAGCTACCTTTGAAAAGAGACACTTCAGTCTCAATAAGCAGAGGTCTGAGACAGGAATTGATCACATTTGTGATTTTCACCCATTGTTTACCAAACGGAAATAGGAATAAATGGTGCTGTAAAATGTAGCAATGTAGCAGGGGTTCACCCAAAGCAGTTCATGCTATATACTAAGATAGTATATTTTGGATAAAGAACTGGTTGAAAGGTAGG